CGGAGGTGCCGAAGCTTTCATGCTGTCAGTTATCTGATTGTGAAGCAGAAGTTGATAGCACAGAAAGTTCATGAGCAGCATCATTATGCTTATCACCGGCAATAACCACGCACCTGCGTGGTTATTGCCGGTGATAGACCATCCCAAATCCAACTTTGGAGCAGTTTGGCGCAATTTCTGTTGTTATTATCAAGATGGCGCATTAAATTTAATTTAGCACACTTTGGCACAGTTGGCGCAAGGGCGGGATCACTGTAAAGAGCACGCTGCCGCTAAATAAACTTGAGACCATCTTTATCATTTCTGCAATTCGAAACATGTGCATCACAGACTTTTTTGAGAAAAAATATTTTGTGTTTTCACTTGCAAATTTTTTTAAGCTGTTTCATTTACTACAAACTTTGGGATGCAGTGCATGGATACTGTGTAACGTTAAGGTTCATTATAAGTGGGCTCAACTGTACTATGACAAATTAGAGGGAGCGCACCATTGCAACCTCAACAAGGAAGCTTGTACAGTAGACTCTCAGTAAATGGAACCTGAAGGGACCAGAAAAATATGTTTCATTTAACAGGAGTTTTGTTTACTGAGAGGTGAACATAGAAGCAGAATACAAGCTTGAAACCAAGCATTGCAGAGGCAATGGTTTCGTTTAGGCAGTAGTTCGGGTCAACCGATTTCCGTTTACTGAGAATCTACTGTATTAAATCACCGGCCTAAACAATCAGGACACCATCCAAGCCATCGACACGCACACATACAATTCTGCAGAGGAGCTTCTGTGTTGCTTCAAGCGTTATAGAACCATTGACTCCTGGGACTCAAAACATTCCAATGCAAGTGAATTTCATCCGTGGAAGTACACACTCCCCAAGAGTCGTCAAATTCTTTCTGTGTTGTCTGTGAGGGAATCCTTTACCGCCAAAATTATCGGAATAGGTCTGTGTGTGTCTGTTGTGACGGTAGCCATATGCGACAGACGGTACTATTCATGTGCCACGACGCTCCGACTGCCAGCCACCTCGGGCTGCACAAGACGCTGGCACGCATCAGAGAGGTTTCGGTGGCAGTGCATGCACAGTGACATTTCCCGCTATGTTTTGTCAGTGCACGATCTATCAAGTATGAAAGTCCATCACAAATCTGCAACCGGTTCCCATGCAACCTATCCCTCCTTCGGAAACACCTTTTGAGATAGTGGGACTTGGTCACATGGGACTGTTTCCGCATACGTCGCGCGGCAACAGGTTCTTCATCGTTGCCACGAACTATCTCATGAAGTGCATCGAAGTCAGAGCCATCCCTGACTCTTCGACTCTGCACGTCCTCACGTTCATCAACGAGTGCGTCATTTTTCTACACGGCACACCATTCTTGCTCATCACTGACCGTGGCACGGTCTTCACGTCGCGAGCATTCAGAAACCTTTTGAATGATCATGGGATTCAACATGCAGCGGCCACTCCTTAGCACCCACAAACAAACTGTCTGGTAGAACATACAAACCGTACCATAAAGGACATACTGTCGTCATACGTGAGTACCAGTCATAACAACTCGGACTTATATGTCACCGCAGCTGTCACGCTCTCAATACATCACAGAAGAAAATAACACGGGAGTCTCCGTTCAAGCTTGTCTATAAAAGGACGCCCAAAGGTTCCGTAAGAGAGCTTCTTCGGTTTAAAAACAACAGCCCACAACCGTCTGGATGATAACAAAAACTTCGCACCTTCTCCTGAAAGCTCACTCTATAGTGCCCTTGGCCATAGCGCATTATTAAGCGAAATTGCGCTCGCCTTCCAACTAGAACCACGCCCCTTTCAAACCAGGAGACCTAGCGCTGGTTCAACCCACCCAGCGTGTTCCACAGCATTGGCAGAAGTTTCTTCCCCGGTTTGCCGGCCCATTTCAAGTGGTCAAAGCCCTATCCGCTCTGTTATGTTTTGCCTGGAAGTTATTCCTGAAATGTTCACCAAAAGAAGAAACCATGAGTTTCCCACCCATGCGAGGCAGCTGAAACTTAATGTGCTGCGTGATTTCTGTATTCGCACCTCTTCGTCTTCTGGCTCAGACTCCAGGGGAGAGGGGGCGGCGAATGTAGTGGATCATACTGACAGTGACTGGCGCGTGAGGGTTAGACTGGTATAGGAGAACGACGAAGTTGCAGTGCGTTGGATTGTGTTCGTGTTAGTTGCTCTTGCATGTTTCAATATCCAGCAGGCCATAGAAACAAGGAAAACAGAGCCGCGGAAATGGCCCAATGAGAGTAAACAAAACTAAAAAAAAAAAAAAAAACTCTAAACTGAGGAGGGAGACTGGATCGTCTGCACCGAGGAGAAAACACCCCTTCCAAAAAGAAGGGCTGTACTGTTTTACCTGTAACAAGTACAGTCCTGTCTTTTTCAACAGCCGAGTTCGCAAAGGAGGGTAAGGCTGCAGCATTTGTAACCGAAGTAGACACGAGGCCAAGAACTGCCGAGAAAGGGAGAGCAGGCCACACCTCCTTTAAAGCATCACGAATCTGGACATCCGTGCAGTAAACGCGGCAAATGAAAGTCCTTCATGCTGGCTAAGGTTAACGGGAATGAAGTGAGAGCTTACATTGACCTCGGCAGTCGGTGCGTCCCTATTCGGTGGGAGTATGCAGATCTGGTCGGAATCAAATATAGGGTGAAGAAGCCGCGGACCATCAGGCGCTAAAAGTCCGGGCGTGTGACGCCATGTGGTGAGGAAAACATTAACCCAACAGTCCACCCAGCAACAGCTGACGTACCCGCGCTGGTCGTGCCAAATGAGTCACAAGCGGTTCCTTTCATTGTGGGGCAGCCCTTCACCAAACAACCTCACGTTACTGTAGTGAGGCAATGGACCACCATGTGTACCTTTGAAGAGAAGAATCTGGATGAAAGTGATGACACACTACAGTCTATCAATATTCGAAATCTTTCGAGGCACCCGGTCTGCCTTTGAGCCAAAGATTTGACAGTAGCTCCGCTGAACTATGTAGGACTTGTCAAGTCCTACGTTATGGGCAGCGAAGCCAGCGTCCATGTTTTTGACCCAGGTGCCAAGAGGGGCGCGACCATTGCATATCGTGTTGTGTCATGAACGCAGGTGCGAGAAATGAGAACCGCATTCCTGTAATAAACGTTTTGTATCAGGAACTGAATATGAAAGCCACCAAGCGGGTTGTACGATCAGAAGTCTGCTGCATCAATGAAAAGCTGATGCAGGACGGGAAATCAAGCTGCAGTGCCAAGCGAATATGTTCAATGGCAACCACAAACTTCAAAACGTGCCCAAGCTTCGCACTGGAGCACTGTGAGAAACTCAACCTGACCCATTGAAGAGTATTACCACTGCTTTGCTTACAGCGACTAAGACCAATGCTGCGGAAATGAAGATCAAGATAACAACCGCAGAACTTGTAAGGTTTTGCCCTTGTTGGTTTTACTTTGCCTACAGCAAGCATTTGCAAAGACCAAATGAAACAACAGATAAGATACAAGAAACGTTCAATAACTTACAAACCGGGAGATGTCGTGTTGGTTATGCGAGAGCCTACATAGTATGACGAATCAAGGAGAAATACAGAGGACCGTATAGCATCACGGGATAACCACCTAGTGGGAGATAACGCATCAGGAGGTTGCTCAGTGCACCATGTAGGAGCAACGCATGCAGCAGCATCGCTCCATTGGACATGCTAAAGCTGTGGGGCCAGATGAGAAAGACTCGGATGGGTCAGACTCCGACCAGGAGGGTCGATAATTGCAGAATCACTGCGTGTGCACGCTCTTGTAGTGAAGCACAGAACTTAAAAGCTGGTGCCAGGCCACAACCACTGCACGAGCCGAGCTGGGCGGAGGCTGGAGCGGTAATGTGACACTGACGTGGACCTCCCATGGTGACTAATGACGTAGCACGTAAAATATGTGAGAAACAGAACAAAGGAAGAGACAAAGAGGATATGTACCCTGTGTCTAACAAGATAAATGTCCTGTGTCTCACATATTTTATGTGCTACATCATTAGTTATGTCTTACCAACACGACCAACATTATACTCTTGTCCCTCATGGTGAGCGTGGGTGTATGAGTGTACACCAGTTCTGAGAGAAGGCGGAAGAGAGACAACAGTGCAACTAAACAGATGTCATATCCTTGTCTCTACAGTAGATTTCTTAGCTTTATCTAAATAAATGTTGCTTTGTTAAAAGTAACCAATGCATTTTTTTGCCAGTCTTTCCCTCCCATCTCCTGAATCATCAACGTTTTGCTATTAACGCTATGTATTTATGATAGGCATGCACAAATAGTGAATTTTAGATTCGAAGCAAACAGTGCGTTGGTCGAACAAATTTGAATGAAATAGTAGATATCACAGAACAAAAAGTAAAATGCACCCATCTATCTCGACCTGACACACCATCACAATGTTTTTTTTATTGAGACAAGGCGTGTGCAAATGTCACTGTTTTTAGTTCAAAGGAAGCAACTTTGAATAGCAGCGGTTTTTGACATTCGGTAGAATGTAAGTGATTACCTGTAAAATATGTTAAGTTTTAAAATTTACTATGCTGAGAGCATGTAAGTTGACATAACAAGCTTTTGAACTTGAAAAAAGTATAATCGATTTGAGGGTAATATGTTCATTCATGTAAGTAGGGCTTTGCGGCCGTGCATACTTTTTATAATTAGGTGCCTTCATGGCTTGACACCCCTTCACTCTAGAGAAACGACCTTTACAAAAAATTACAAACTGACCAAGTTTCAATCGAATGTTTTTACGGTTCAGCACCACTATACTGCAGTGAAACCACCTTTACAAAGGTTACATACAGACAAAGTAGACACATATTTCTCATATAGAATATTTGAAACTACCAAATAAATTAAATTCGAATCAAAGCAAATTATAGTATTGTTATATTTTTTTGCATATTCGAGGCACTTGAATATTCAATACAAGCCTAATTTTATGAGCATCAACCAACCTTGCTGCAGGGCAAGGGCCTCTCGACTGGCTGCACAAAGCTGCGCTGAGGATCCTGTTGGCAGTGTGACTGCAGGGCCTCTAGCCACGCACGGCAGTCGGACTCAGAGCTGCACTTGACTGCCACATAGTGTCCCTTCTGCAAAAAAATACAAAACCACTTTGGTTTCAGCTTGAACTTAATCTGGACATAACAAATTGGAAATTTTACAAACTCCCATATTCATCATTCATTTTAATATTCAAGTACTATATAACCTTGTATTGCTGATTATAAGTTGTTTTTTTTTTTTTTTTTCATAAAATGGCCTTCCAAAGTTTGGGTGTCGACCAACACGCGGAATCGTGAGGTTAGAGTGGGAACGATAAAGTCAACTTCTCTGAGGGGTCCGACGAACAGTCGTCATTCTCAGATTCACTGCTACCGTCAAACCTCATAATAACGAAGTTGAAGGGGGAGTCGTAATTACTTCAGTATAACCATTCGTTCGTTATAGCCAATATCCATTTTTACTGGCAATTAGACAGCAAGAAAGAAAATACTCACCAAGCAAGAAAAAAGGCTGTCGGGAGGCAACAGCTAAAAAATAATAAAGAACAATGCACTTTATTTTCGCCAAATTCAGCACACCAGCTGGCAGATCACTTCGAAGAAAAGTAGTCTTTAATAGACTTCCTGACTCTTCTTAATGCGGATGACTGCACTTTAAGCTGCAGCAGCTATTTCGAGTGAGTCCTCGTCGTCATCGTAAGCATCAAAGAAATGACGCAGCAGCTCTGTTACATCCAGCACTTGCGTGGCCACCGGTACGTTAGGTTCACCAACATTAGGCTCCAGGCTGTCGACACATTCGTCAGTGTCGTCATGCACCCTTCGTCACCCCGCACACAATTTCCGGATCTAACAACTCTTCGGTTGTCACCGCATCAGCATTGGCACCGACGTATGAACAAAAAATGTCACAGTTAGGCACAACGCCGGTGTCAAGAAGAGCGTCCCACTATGTCAGGCCTGGTCCCCCGCGGCACCCTTACTGGCGACATTGCTGAAACCTTCTCTAAGCTCTCCGGCTGCTGGCGCCACATGAACATGCCAAAAGGAGTTGGCGATCGCGCTTGCCGTTAAAGCCATCCAGGCAGCTTGCAACATCTCGATCACAATCTACAGATCAGTTGTTGTTTCGCCCTTCATGGTCGTATTCAGCGAAATTTGATCGATGACACACTTGCGGCAGCCCAACTTGGAAGTTCCCGATCACCCCTTGGTCAAAGGGTTGCACAACCGCAGTAGTGCTAGGTGACACAAAGCACAGCTCAATGTTTTTAAGCACAATGGTAGTGTGGCGGGCTGTGCAGTTATCCAGGATGAGGCATGTCTTGCAGTTCTGCTAGCCCAGCCGCTCGTCCCACTCACCCTGCCAATGTGCGAAGATCTCCACTGTCATCCAGGCCTTGCGGTTTGAGACATAACTTACTTGGAGTTTCCACTTTCCTTTGAAGCACCGTAGTGATGCACTTTTGCTGATTATGAGGGCCAGCAGCTTTCTGAACCCATCCATATTCACACATAATAGCACGGTCACATGAACCTTGCTCTATTTATCACACTGGCAGTGGTCACCTTTGAGGGCCCAGGTTTTTTCCGGCAACACTTGATAGAACAGGGCAGTCTTATCTGCGTTGAACAGATCTCTGGGGCTGTATTTTTCGAGCAGCTGCCCAATGTTCTTCTCGATCCATGCCCCTGCAGCTTATTTTGCAGTCGACAGACAGTGATTCCCCACTGACAGCCCTACCGACGATGTCGTGGCGCTCCTTCAAGCGCTGCAGCCAGCCATCACTAGCCACAAAATCATCGTGACTCACGATGCACTGCAAAGTTCCTTGCATTCTGCTGCAGAAATGCCCCACTCCCAAGAGTTCCGCTTCCTCTGATTTCTAAGAACCAGTTGACCACCGTCTTCTCGACAGCTTCGAAGACAGGGGCTCACAGCTTCACTCGGTCACCTTTGACGCCACAAGCGACAGCGCTGGTAATGGCTTCTCTTTTGCTTAAGATTGTAGTGAGGAGAGAAGAGAGACGTGAGATGACGTCGAAGGCGGCCGATGGGGCCGTGCCGATCTCGCCACTTTATTTCAGGCCTGATGCGGAGCCACGTCGGCTACCAGCGTCCGCCACGCCAGGCGTGTCAGCTCGTTCTACTTCTCGCGCAGCTCGAGCTAGCATGAGCTGCGCGAGAGGCGCGGCGCGGTGATCCAGAAATGATGATGGTAATGATGGCACTACAGGGCTCCCCTCCTAGCGCTTTGCGCGATTTGAAGGCATATGAAAAAAAGAGAGCGACAAATGCTATATACATGAACGACAATCCATAAAGTGTTCATTTGGAAAGTCCAGGTTGTCAACGTTGATTGGCCATCGGTAAGCAGCGGGTCTCTGGCGGGCGACACTGGGAGAAGCGCAAGGGACGAAGGAGGAAGTGCCGGGTCACTGTGGTAGCCGACAAGCGGGTCTCACGGTGACCTGGTCGGACAGGCCGAGAGTGGACCGTGTGTCCCGAGGTCATGACAGGATGGTGGGTGACAATGTTGGCGCTGGTTGCAGAGGACACTATACTGCCGCCTGTCGAGATTAGAGGTCCCGACAGGGCCCCATGATGGTGGTGGTGGTGATGGTGGTCATGCGCCAGTATCTGCGGCTGGGTGAACGTTGGTATCTGCACCAGGGATTGGTGCTGGTCTGTCTGGAACGCACCCAGTGTGGGCTGGGCCAGCATGGTCTGCGTGGGCAGCATGGCCTGCAGCTGTTGCAGCGTCAGTGGCTGTCCCGGGACTATGGCAAACGAGGGGGGCGACATCATGCGTGGCGGTGCCAGAAAGATGTTGGGCCTTGGCCCCAGGTTCTGTGGGATGACAAGCGTCGGGGTGCCAGGCGGTCCTGGATGTCCCCCATGGGGCCTGGGCCCCGTCTGAGGTCCCAGGGTCAGGCCCGTGGCATGGGGTGGCCGCAGGGCCAGCTGGACCCCCTGTATCTGTCCCAGAGAGCTCTGGGTCTGCCCCGATGCACCTTGTATCAGAATCGGGCTGTGGCCCAGGCCCGGAATGTACTGGTTCAGCAGGAAAGTGCCCTGCGCAGGTCCAGCCGGAAACATGCCCGGCTGCACTGCCGCGGGGTTCCCGATGAGCAGCGGACTCCCCGTGTTGAGCCCCATTGCGGCTCCGCGCTGCACCGTGGTCGCAGGCTGCGGCATCGGTACAGGCGCGGGCCGCGGTGTGGCCTTGTGCTGGGCCGCCCGGGGAGACTTGTGCTGTGGCCTTGTGCTGGGCCGCCCGGCTGTGGACTTGTGCTGGTGTGACCATTGTGGCCGCCCGGCTGTGGCCTTGTGCTGGGCCGCCCGGCTGTGGCCTTGTGCTGGGCCGCACGGTGTGGCCTTGTGCTGGGCCGCCCGGGAGGCCATTGCTGGCACCAGTGGCAGGTGGCGGAGCGGCAGGGGGCACCGTCGAGGAGCTGACCAGCAGCTGCGGCGAGGAGGAGGCCGAGACGTCTGAGCTGGTGGTCGCGGAAACGGCGAGGGCCACGGTGTCGCGTGCCGTCGCTTTCGTGGAAAACGTGCAGGTAGCAGGTACGTGTGATGAAGCTCTGCACTGGGGCTCTGAGGGAATGTACCTCTCGGAGGGAAGGTCAGTCGCAGTGGGGAAGTCTTCTACCTCGCGGTCGTGATCAGGAGCAGGAGTGGATGTTTCTGCGACCGGATCAGGTGTAGAAGAAATCGAAGCCGGGGTACCGAGGTAGCGGTCAATGGAGCGCTGCGGACCGGTTCGTACCTTGCTCTGCGACGCCGGGGAAACCTGCCTGGTGCGGGTAAAACTCTACCGGAAGGGCGTCGAGAAGAATGGCGTGCATCAGCAGCTGGTCCGTGATGCCATTCACCGCAAGAACGGCGTCGAGCTGCATAAACCATACCTTGGGGAAGGTCGATTGGAACGGCGGCACTGGCGGGCAGAGTTGCGGGAACATGGCAGCGGGCCGTTCGGCGAAGGGCGTGTTCTCCGGGTCACCAATGTAGCGGCGAGAAAAGAGAGACGTGAGATGACGTCGAAGGCGGCCGATGGGGCCGTGCCGATCTCGCCACTTTATTTCAGGCCTGATGTGGAGCCACGTCGGCTACCAGCGTCCGCCACGCCAGGCGTGTCAGCTCGTTCTACTCCTCGCGCAGCTCGAGCTAGCATGAGCTGCGCGAGAGGCGCGGCGCGGTGATCCAGAAATGATGATGGTGATGATGGCACTACAAGATCATTGATTTTTTTTTCTTGATGCTGGACACAAGGACATTTAATTATTGTCGAATTCTGCTTGATTGTTACATTTCTGTGCTTACATTTGCCTCTACCGTTGTCCTTCTGGTGTCTAGCGGTGGAAATTGATAGAAGTGGTGTTGCTCTTCCACAGCGTACGATAAGGAACAAACACACAATTTCTGCTATCTTGGCGTGGAGCTTAAGGGGAGAAGGTCAGGTGTGTGGGCAGGTCAACAAGTTCTTCAGGAGAGGGGAGGTCTGCTGACGCGCAAGCCCTTGCGAGTTGCTGCGCGGGCAAATTCATTAGTTCTTGAGGAAAGGGGAGGCAGGGAGACTTGCACCCATGTGCATGTTGGCAGGCAGCTCCTGAGGAGCGCAAGGTGCTAGTTTTGAATTACCACAGCTGTGATAAGACGTAAAATGTCGCGTGTTCTATGATATTGAATTGTCGTATACTAAAATGATCAGTAAATGCTCGTTGTGAACAACAAGTGGTTCATTATATCCATTGTGAGAAAATTTTCACTTTTTTACAATGAGGTTTTAAATACATGGGCATCTATGACAATTTCAAGGAAAATTACAACTGCTTCATTATATCCATTAGTTTGTTATATCCCCATTCATTACAACGAGGTTATACTGTATTCGACCGAGCAATCACATCAGCCGCAGAGGCAACGAAGTCGCGAAAAGTGCTATCCTCAACATGCATGCCACTTCCGGAGCCGGACATCGTGAAACTAGGGTGCAGCTATGGTGGCTAGAGGAGGAGGTGTCAGCAACGACGTGTTGGAGATACAGCATTTTTTCATGACGCATCACCGACAACATCAGGGTTTAAACAGTAGCACCATCGCAGCGGCGCATCTGTCAGCCAAGATTGGCAACAACACCGGCACTCACCGCATATGGGTATGACAGTGCATCTGGCTCGCAAAGAAATGCGACATGCGTTTATCGCTCGCTAACACTGCAACATACGTTTATCTGTCTTGAACAACTCGACATGCACTTCTCACTCGCAAAAAACATGACGCTTATCCTTTTCGAAGAATGTGACATGCCTTTCTCGCTTTAGCAGACAGCGCGCCCTAGCAGTGCTTGCTGAGAAAGCAATTAAACAATTTATATTTCTTGTGAAGCAACATGAGTGTTCCACAAAAAAGCTGGCAGCGCCGTATGGGCTGGCAACACTTCATGGGGAATTGAACCACATGACTAGTCACATGCATCCCACGCATGCACCCACAAGCGTCTTCACGTCTTTTTGCGCTCATGCCTTTTCACCATTTCTGCATTCGCCTTGCTAGTGAACATTGGTGTGTGCGATTTGTGAAGCTGCCCTCAATGCCACTTCTACACTGGCAACAATGCAGCGCTGCTTTAAAGAGGCAAGCGATCCACTACGCAGGGTTTTAAAGCAACGTTGAAGCAGAGCGGAAGATCGATGTATCGGAAAAGTGTCTGAGGGAATGGAGAAAACAAAAACCAAGATCTGCATGTGCATTACAACATGCAGTTCCTTTCACGGGCTGAAGTCTGCATGATACCCTGCCATTGAGGAGGCGGTTCGAGATTGGGTTCACGGTCAGAGATGCAAAACTCTGAGTGTTTGCTACGATTATATCGAAGCAAAAGCTCGTACTGTCGCGAAGGATATGTGCATTCGACTAGTTGAGTTTGAGGTATAAAAAAATGGGCCAATAACTTTATATAAAAGAATGACCTTAGCCTAAGACGATGCACAGCTGTATGCCAAAGGATGCCCAAAGCCTACAAAAAAAAAGCTCGTGTTCCTTCGCTACATGAGTGAACTGAAGGCTAAGCAGTCGATCCTGATGTGTCAAATTAGCAATGCCGACCACACTCCCGCCAGGTTTGACATGCCTAGCAAAAGAACCGTGTTTGGAAAAACAGAGAGTTAGGTTCGCCTGCTGATAACAGGCATACGCACAACAGTTTCAATGTCATGTTGTGCTGTACAACCGACAGGCATAAGCTACCCCCATTTCTTTTGTTCAAACGGAAAACTATGCCAAAGAAAAAAAAGTTTCCACAGAAAGTTCTCGTGCGGGTGAACGAAAATGTTTTTTTAATGATATAACTGTCCTCGAATGGTTTCATCTCGTGTGGTGCAGGAGCCCGGTTCACTCCTTCCACAGCCATATGACAAATGAAGTGATATGGAGTGAAGAAAGCAGCGGCAGAGACTCTGGATGTAAGCTGGTCGTCATTATGGGTGGACTGACACCTATTCTCCTGCCAGTAGACATGGCACTCAATAACCCATTCAAAGACCGCATGTGCACATTCTACAATGAATGGCTATAACAAGAAAATCCCAAGATACCAGCAGAAAAACTAAAGCACGCCTCTTTGAGTGAAGAGGCACAATGGATTAGTGATGCCTCATATGGACTGCCAACCAACATGGTCCACGCAGCGTTTTCCATGCGAGGCATCTTAGTACCACCAGCACCTTTTTCGTCGACAAGCAGCAACAGTGGCTCACACGATGGCAATGATCGTGACTGCTGCATCCTTCTCTCAAGCAACAATGAGTCGTAAGCGATGTTTCACGTCAAATAAATGTTTCTTTGCATCACGCCCTTTGCTAAAAGACTTACTGGTGTGCTATGGCCACAGCATGGAACTGTTTTTGGAGTCAACTTCTTTTTTTTTATTTGCTTAGAAGGGGTTGCAAGTTGGAGGGTTCACTTATAATCCTTAATATATGGCAAGTTCATGAGTATCTGGGCCCCTCCAGAGCTGCACTGGTACAATATCGACCTGTCATAAACATAGATTGTTGTGGTCACAGGAGATCCGATTACAGCACGAGAACTACACCCTGCATATGCACGCATTTTCTGGGTGGCAATGTGAAGAAAATACGGTGATCTTCCAATTTTCAGACTGTGTAGCAGGTCTTTGCATCATTCGGGCATAAATTTAGATGCTCCGGAGGCAAAAGAAGGGTGTGAAACATGCGAAACCACTGCGAACATGGGACTCGAAGCCAACCCTTCGCGGGCGAGGCTGGAGAAGCTCATGACAAGTCGGCATGGCAACAGGCGAGGTAACACCTTCATTAAAACTTGTCGCCAATGTGGTGTCGCAAAGCGGACCAAATGCCATTTTATTTAAACCCCCATAGGTACAGACCAATGTTGCTAGACTATCCACTGAAACAGAAACTAGTGAGACAACAATAACATGCACTGATGCTTGCTGTGCAAGATCTGTGTAACTGCAGTGTGTACTCCATTTGGCTTGCAATGCTGTGCATGGGCTCTTGCATGTGGGCAGACATGGTACCTCTAAATGCATTCAAAGCCCAATGTGATATGTTTTGAAATGTAGTTTCAACAGCCAGTTAAACTCTCTTAGTTCTGCAGTACTTTAGACGTCTTTGTTGCTTATGCTTCACAAATGCATTTCCTTTGAATACTACAGTGGAATCTCGATGATACCATTACAACCTATGTGAATTTCCTGATACAAATTTTAAGGTTCCTCCAAGTTAACTACATTATATAAAATATTATCAATTCAACAAAAAATACAAAAAGCACACATGAAAGGACTGAAGAAATAAAAAAATCAATTCTATAAGTGGTATCACAGGAAATTGTAAAAAAAAAATAAGAAATAAAAGCAATTTAACATCACATTTAACAGCCCCGAGGCTCGCCCTGTCCGCTCTTGCTTTTCGGTTTTTGTTCTTGGGCACTTCAAAAGAGTTCCCTAACATTTACCACATACATAGAGTATACTTTCTGCTATATCATATTTGGACACTTGCAGACCAATTATTGTGCTAGAGTACAAAATGCGATATGAATTAACCTAACATTACATGTACAGTGCAGTCCACTTATAACGATACCACATATAACGATATATCGGTTATAACGATGGGTCGACTTAACAGTCTCATTTTATGCATTGGGGCTATGGGGAAAAAAACCATATATAACGATATGTTATCCACCGCATATCGGATACAACGATGAAAAGTTTACCGTGGACGGCATGTTTCATTCAGAATAATCGTAACATTTAGATTGATAAGTTCCTCTGAAACGAACTATGTCGAGACAAGACGAAAAGTTAGCGTAGGCGAGTACGTATCTGCCGCCACTGCAGCACAGCGCCGGCAGCGCGTCCCGGCCGTTCAAAAAGCCGAGGAGAGCATTGCGAGTTGGCGCGACGCGCTACAGATGGCGCCAGCTGTGTCACGTTTTGCGCCTCGCCGCGCGTCGACCGCGGAGAGGCTGAGAGAATTAAAAAAAAAAAAGCGAAAAGCAAAGCGCCGCGCTCCGCGGCTCCCCGCCTTCTACAACGGCAAGCCGGCAAGCTACTCGTAGCTTGCCGAACGAAAGCGGGAAAGAGAGAGAAAATAAAAAAAGCGAAAAGCAAAGCAGCGCGGCGGCATCGGGGCGGGGCCTCGTTGGCATTCCGGCTGTGTACCTCTGGCTGTGCTTTCTTCCTCCCACTGCTCCCACCCCGCCGTCGGTCAGTCTCTCTTCCTCAGCGAACCCGTGATGCGTTCTTCGGAGTAAGAAATAAAGTCTTGTTTTTGACATCCTACTATCTACAATATTTATTAATTGGTGAAAATAGCGAAATGAAGCCTGGAGCTACAAAAGGTACGTCCGGCGACGATTTTTTGGCGGCAGTCCAGATATAACGATCACCGGTTATAACGATCATATTTTTAGGTTTTCTCGATATCGTTATAAGTGGACTGCACTGTAGCTAGAGAAAAGCTCTTAGATTTATCAGCACAAAATTTATGAACTATACTTTGCTCAAGCACCCAATTTGCTGCTTCCTGATGCCGATTATTCGTGCACGATAACCGAAAACAAAACTGTTAAGTCACAAATTCATAAATGCACCTGGCTTACCCGATCATCAATTCCAATCATGTGGTTCTCGAGGGTGTCAACCTGACCACCAAGCAGTTGCATCTTCACCAGTGGCTTACTTGACTTGTCATTCTGGTGTCAGAAAAGGAAGCAACAAATGCATACCGACATTATTACAGCTATAAACAATAAACAGCCAATCAAAAATTAAGAAAGGATCAACTCGTACACTTGCAACAAAATTTATCGATTGACATCACAACAAAATATACTTGATGGTCATGCTTCTACGGTGTTCTTAATCGTTCTCAGCAAGTAGAATTTGGTCACAGCGAGACATGGTGGAAGGAAGCCATGTGCAGTGATTATGTGTCAGTGGGTCCTCACTTATTGTGCAACACCCTTAAATATATACAACAGTCTCTGCATTGGTCATACTTAGAAATGAAAGAAGGAGGACAAATAATACACAAGCAAAGCCACTGTTCTAAATTATAGCTTGTTAGATTGCATCGAGAAAGAAGGCAGACCGAAAAAAAAAAGTTATCGTATAAACCGGACTAAGGTCGAGTGGGAATATAGGTCGACCCCACAAGTTCAGGTTACCGAAAAAGAAAAAAAAAGAAAAACAACCCAAGATTTCCAAACGGCATTTATTTGCGGATTGGGCTCACCGCACCCCAATCGTCAGAGCTCCCCTCCACTACCATCGCAACTGTTTCCATTTGTCAGGCGAAGCACCACTGTTTTTGAAGACGAGAGTTTGTCGCTGATGGAACATTTCTTAAAAGCATTTTCCACCATGGAATCTGGCAAAGAACGCTAGGCAGAAAGAACCTAGCCACAAACAGTCGCAAGCGGAGGCCTCTGTAGGTGGCCCATCAGTGTCTTTGAGTTGTCGCCGGACATCCACTTTTGGTACTCCAGCCGCACTCAGTCCTTGAGCGGCTTGTTTAGCTCAACGTTGATAGGTTGGAGGGTGAACGTCATACCAGCTGGTATCATGGCGAGGTCCATTTTTCCATCGCCCAGTACGCGCTTCACAGCGTCGGTTAAGTGACCACAAAACACATCTAACACCAGCATGCTACATGCGAAGATGCAGCAGTGCACCTGGCGGACAGTTCCAGACTACTCTTATCCATTGAAGCATCATGGCCTCGTCCATGTATCCGTTTTTTTTTACGCGAACGACAACACCGGGCGAGAACACTTCCCTCGGCATTGTCTTAAGTTTGAAAAATGATGATGGGCGGAAGCTTTCTACCATCTGCCATGCACGCCAGCATGACAGTGAAGCGCGAGTGCTCATTGTCAGTGAAAAACAGCTCCATATCCTTGGCGCCACGCTGCATGATTATGGTTTATGAAGGCATGTCAAATTGTCAATCTGCCCCATCATGTAGTTGTTCTGCTCCTGAAGCCGGTTCACGAAGCCCTAAATATTTATAAGCTTGTCCTCGAGCTCGACTGGAAACTTCAGACAGATGAATGTGCGCCACCAGAAAGAAAATCCTTTGGGTCTCATTAATCGACGCACCCAAGAGTTTGGTGCACGAAACTCTTCTCTCGTGAGCCCAGCTTCTCGAGCGAGTTCCACAGCTTTCTTGCGAATGGTATCCACGGTCACTGGCAGTGAGCACGCATGAACTCCCCACACAAAGTTCCCTAGCATATTCTCCAGCTGCAGATGAACCGCACTTCGCCCACGAAATGACATTTTCCGAGAATTGCAGATCTGCAGCTTCCCTTTCTGCACCCTCTAATAGCGCACGCTTTCTTCTGATACACCAAAGCGGCGCTGAGCAGCCATATTTCCATTCGCTTCTGCGAACTCAACAACTTCTAGTTTAAACGCAGCTGAGTACTGCCTTCTTGCATCGCTACTCATATTCAGTGAACGAAAAAAAGGACCACTAACAATGAAACACAATGTCAAGCGGAGCGAGAACTTAGAACAGCTCGGAGGCAAATCACGAACACAAAAAAACTGACAAGAGAGAAAAAAAAAAAAACAACCTGCTATTGGATTTGAGTGCGAATATGGTCGTGTCCAGCTTCTCATGCACATGCAAGCCACATGTTGATAGACAGCGGTGTACTGTCGCCTAGACACCGCTATATAGGACGAGGGGCGACTTTAGCTTGTTGTTTAATTGAAAATATCTCGACTTATATTTCGGTTTATACGGTACATACTTCGGACTGGTAATAACCGCAGAGCCGAACCTTGATATTGCAGAAACTAGAAGTATAAGATTGGGGTGGAGCCCATTCGGCAAGCATTCTCAAATCATGACTGGTGGATTGCCACTATCCCTCAAGAGGAATGTATACAACAGCTGCATCTTGCCGGTACTTACCTACAGAGCAGAATCCTGAAGGCTTACAAAGAGAGTTCAGCCTAAATTGAGGATGAGGCCGGAGCAATAAAAAGAATGATAGGTGCAACTCAAATGATTGATATGTGGGGTTGAATGCCCCAAAATCATCATATGATAATGAAAGACGCCGTAGTAGAGGGCTCCGGAAATTTCGACCACCTGGGGTTATTTAGCGTGCACCCAAATCTGAGCACACGGGCCTACAGCATTTACGCCTGCATAAAAAATGCAGGTTCTAACGTTTAACGCTAGAACCTTATCTAGTGAGGGAAGTCTAGCTGTACTATTCGAGGAGCTAGAGGGTGTTAAATGGGATATAATAGGGCTAAGTGAGGTTAGGAGGACAGATGAGGCCTATACTGTGCTACAGAATGGGCACGTCCTTTGCTATCGGGGCTTGGCAGACAGAAGAGAACTGGGAGTCGGGTTCCTAATTCACAGAAACATAGCTGGCAACATAGAGGAATACTATAGCGTTATTGAAAGGGTGGTAGGTATGGTAATTAAACTGAATAAAAGATACAAGATGAAGGTAGTACAGGCTTACGCGCCTACATCCAGCCATGATGACGCTCCAGTTGAAAGTTCCTATGAAGACGTGGAATCGGCAATGAGTAAGGTAAAAAATTGCCCGCAGCTTCCCTCGAAGGAACACTGAGGAGGATGCGGACCATATAATTGGTTAACGGGGTGTTAAAGTGCGACTTACTTGGGTCGATGGCTAAATTGGTTAACGTGGTTGTGAAATGGGGTGTTAAATTGCGACTTACTTGGGTCGATGGCTAAATTGGTTAACGTGGTTGTAGGAGGGGGTGTTAAATGAGTGAACACGTACACACGTATGCGAAAGGGCGGCGCTGGTCGAAGGGACGTCGATCATTGTGTTTGTGGATTCGTTGGAATTCATTTCACCGCGACCTTGGACGTCGACGCGCCGTACAAACCAACCGACGAGCGGCAACTGAGCGAGCGAGCGCCGACCTTGAGTATATATACAGCACGACGGCGCATGCACTGTCAGCTGTTGAATGTTCTTGAAGCGCGACGCCACATGCGCGTCCACTGGAGAATCAGGAGAATTGTAGATGTCGAACGCGGCGTGTAGAGGAGGAAGGGTGCACAGATGGTGGAGGAGTGAAGCGCGCGCGGTGTGTAGAGGAGGAAGGGATGCACAGATGGTGGAAGAGTGGGCGACGGCGCGACGGCGCATGCGCGCGTGTCAGCTGTCGAATGTTCGAGAAGTGGTGTCGACGGCGCGGACGACGCGGACGGCGCACTACAAGGCGCGAGTATAAGATGCTCCGCATCTAAAACACAGTATACTATAGTGATGGGCGACTTTAATGCAAAGGTAGGGAAGAAGCAGGCTGGAGACCAGGCAGTAGGAGTATATGGCATCGGTACTAGAAATGCCAGAGGAGAGCTACTGGTAGAATTTGCAGAACACAATAATTTACGGATTTTGAATACCTTCTACCAAAAACGAGAAAACCGCAAGTGGACATGGAGGAGCACTAATGGCGAAAATAAGAACGAAATAGACTTTATAATGAGTGTACACCCAGGAATCGTGCAGGATGTGGAAGTGGTTGGCAAGGTACGATGCAGTGACCATAGAATGGTACGGTCTCGAATTCGCCTAGACTTGAAGAAAGAACAACAGAAACTGATACGCAAGAAGCCAATCAATGAGCAAGCCCTGAGAGGGAAAGTACAGGAATTCAAAGTGTCGCTGCAGAACAGGTACTCGGCTCTTAGTGAGGAAACCAACCTTAGCGTAGATACAATGAATGATAATCTGACGAGTATTATTACGGAGTGTGCAGTGGAAGTTGGAGGCAGGGTAGTTAAACAGGACACTGGCAAGCTTTCCCAGGAAACGAAGAACCTAATTAAGAAGCGTCAAATCATGAAAGTGTCAAGCACAACAGACAAAATGGAACTGGCAGAGCTTTCGAAGTGGATTAATAGACGTAAGGTATGCGATGTAAGAAGGTATAACATGGAGAAAATTGAACACGTTCTGAAAAACGGAGGAAGCGTCAAAGCAGTGAAGAGGAAGCTTGGGATAGGCAAAAGTCGGATGTATGCACTAAGGGACAAAGAAGGCAAAATAACTACCAATATGGATAGGATGGTTGAAATAGCAGAGTAGTTTTACAGAGATCTGTACAATAGCGGAGACAAGCATGACCTTAATACTATAAGAACTAGCAGTAACCCAGATGACACCCCACCAGTAATGATAGAAGAAGTCAGAAAAGCTTTGGAGAGCATGCAAAGAGGCAAAGCTGACTGCGGATTCAGGGCGTAGATGAAGTATATATAAACATTCTGGAAGAAATCTACAGGGGATCAACTGCTACCATAGTGCTTCATAAAGAAAGCAACAGAATACCAATCAAGAAGGGTGTAAGGCAGGGGGACACAATCTCCCCAATGCTATTTACCGCATGCTTACAGGAGGTTTTCAGAAGCCTAGAATGGGAGCAGTTAGGGATAAGAGTTTATGGAGAATACCTTAGTAATCTGCGCTTCGCCGATGACATTGCATTGCTGAGTAACTCAGGGGACGAATTGCAACTCATGATTACGGAGTTGAACAGGGAGAGCAGAATGGTGGGTCTTAAAATTAATCTGCAGAAAACGAAAGTAATGTACAACAACCTCGGAAAGGAGCAGCGCTTCGAGATAAGTAATAGTGCACTTGAAGTTGTAAAAGACTATGTCTACTTAGGGCAAGTAATAACCGCAGAGCCGAACCACGAGATTGAAGTAACTAGAAGAATAAGAATGGGGTGGAGCACATTCGGCAAGCACTCTCAAATTATGACAGGTAGATTGCCACTATCCCTCAAGAGGAAGGTATATAACAGCTGTATCTTGCCGGTACTTAGCTACGGAGCAGAAACCTGAGACTTACAAAAAGGGTTCAGCTTAAATTGAGGACGACGCAGCGAGCAATGGAAAGAAAAATAATAGGTGTAACCTTAAGAGACAAGAAGAGAGCAGAGTGAATTAGGGGACAAACGGGGGTTAAGGATATCATAGTTGAAATAAAGAAGAGGAAATGGACATGGGCCGGGCATGTAGCGCGTAGACAGGATAACCGCTGGTCATTAAGGGTAACTAACTGGATTCCCAGAGAAGGGAAGCGGGTTAGAGGGAGACAGAAGGTTAGGTGGGCTGATGAGATTAAGAAGTTTGTGGGTATAAATTGGCAGCAGCAAGCACAGGACCGGGTTAACTGGCGGAACATGGGAGAGGCCTTTGTCCTGCAGTGGACGTAGTCAGGTCGATGATGATGATGATGATGATGAAAAAATGCAGTCGTCGCATCCAGGATTGAATACCGCGACCTGCGGTTCAGCAGTCGAGTACCTTAGCCAGTAGACTAGTGCGGCGAGGCCTAGGTGTAATTTTAAAAAACAAGAGAGCAGAGTGGGTCAGAAAACAAACCGGCATTCAGAATATCACAGTTGAAATCAAGAAGAAATGACCGGGCACATAGCGCGTAGGAAGGACAGCCGCTGATAACTGACTGGATTCCCAGAGAAGGCAAACTCGTGAAGGGGAGACAGAAAGTTGGGTGCGCAGATGAGATTAGGGAGTTTGCGGGTATAAAGTGGTGGCAGCAAGCACAGGAGAGAGACGACTAACGGAACATGGGAGAGGCCTTTGTCCTGCAGTGGGATTAGTTGAGCTGATGATTACGATGATAATCTTCTACGCTTAATATGGAATCCTTTGGAGTGCTTGATGCGCTTAGAATGATAATTCTTTACCCGTTGAACATTATTTGAGCTAAGCTGGAGTGCATGTACATTTGGGCACCAACAGAAAATGGGGTCTATTCTTGACTGGGAATATTTTACCAATCGGGATCCCAACTAGTACCAGTACCCAACTAAGAATGCATTCCCAACTGGAAATGAGTTTTTTAAACCAGTTGTTGAACCAGTTGAAACCAGTTGGATTCCCAGTTACAAATTTTCACCTGGGATGAGGGACGATCATGAACTACGTTGACAAAATGTCAGCGTCATGGTGCCGTAAATAGGCTATGGCAGCACTTATAGATCATTCTTGCACAGTTTTTGGCCAGCTACAGATATGCCTAACTGAAAAGGTCAGCTTCCATCATTGCATGCACACGTAGAACAAACACAAGAAGGTGTTGAAGCATTTTAAGCACCCAAAAGCAGAATCCACCATCTTGTTGTGTTCACTACTTCATTGCATGCCTTATCAATTGCATTTAAAACTGTCTAAATTGCAAAAAAATCAAATGAAACGGCCACATCAATACGTGCCTCGAGGCAGGAGAGTGTTCCGTCTTGTAGTCGCATGTAGCGGCGCCTCCAGGGGTTCCAGTAGGTAGCCTTCTTGCGGTTGGAAGGCATTACGTCCAAGTATCCTTCGCGGTTGATGCATGCTCCACAGTCCCGTGAACCCTAGGCCATAAGAGTCAAACCCACTTAATTACTTAGCTTGCTGAATCAATGCACCTACTGCTGCTGCTGCTCAGAATAAGGGTGTAGTTAAGCATCCCTACAATGAAGTCAAGGCTTGTGTGAATATTACGGCATTTGAATCAACTTCATCATGAATTTCAAATAGCCTAAATATTCAAGTACAGTAGAACCCCGCTGATACGTTTTTCATGTGACCGTAAAAAAAAACAAAGGAGCCGGGAAACGCAAGAGCCGAGAAACGTGAAAAATTGAGAAATAAGAGTAGTGGTGAACTGCACATAGTTTAATTTTAATTATTTTGCTTGAAAAAATCATGCAGCATTGCCTGGCGCATCTTCTCACGCCCGACAAGCACAAGGCAGTTTTTCAAGCACCTGTAGTGCCATGTGGCTCTTGCCATCGTCACTGGTGCACACATATCTTCGCAATAAATCCAGTGCCGCTACAACCAATGAGGACGTTGGCTCCGGTATTCCTTCCACCTCCTCCTCAACTTCCTCGTCAGCTGGCGCACGGATCGGCGCACTCAGCCACGATGTCGTCGACGGATAACATCGTGGAGGTGACAATGGCATCGCCAACAGAAGCGTAGTCACTGTACGCGATTCCACTGGCACCAACAGTCTCCATGGCACTGTTCAGTTCAGTCGCAGTGCTGCGAACGCACTGTCTATTTGGAGCGTTGGAAGTGTAAAGGCACTATGGAAGACTATTTGGAGCGTTGGAAGTGTAAAGGCACTAACTATGCTGCACGGTTGTATAACCTGCGCAACGACCGACACGAAACAAAGGCAATGCGAGAAGACTGCAGCAAGCACGGGTAGCACGGGCACACATGGGCGATGGTGATGGCGCTGCGCGATTCGGTGGCGATAAGTTTAAGCCAGCGTGACATCCCAAGAAAACAAAATCAGGTCTCGGAGACCTTAGGTTTACAGATGCCAAAACCAATTTTAGAGCCCCAACGCGTCATAGACACAATCTTTTTAGAGTGCAAATACGGATCTCAAAGGTCATGCTTTTGCTGGCATGAACCGAAAATATATCATAGGTGTTGCCCCCCGCACTTTGGGCGGCCAATCCCATCGTCAAGCCACCAAGCCAAGCTACATGAAAGACAACACGGCCGCTCGGGCCGGCGCGTCGTGACACTTCGCAACGTATGATGCGGGAACGGTCCGGTCCCACAGTTGCGACGCAGCAGCGGGGTTACCAATGCATTGGATCCCATGGGAGCTGTGTCGGGACCTGGCCAAAAACGACGTAACAGCCAGGAAAACGCAGCACACGGGAACGCAACAGCGAGGTTCTACTGTATTTGAAATAAACAATGGACATCTTTCAATACGTGCAACACACCTAAAAAGGGGGCTTCGCTGCAGCATGAGCCATTATGACATGAAGCCTCCCACTCAAGAAAAGTCCATACTGCCACAAACCCACACTTCAAGGCTAAGCACGCATATCACGTACACCTAGATTAATTTTTTTTTTCATGTTAAACAGGCTTCTATCGACTAAGTACGGTAAATTTTAAGGGGTAACTTAGTTTACTGCTTTTAACTTCCACACTAAGGTTATTCAAAACCTGCTACTACTATATACAAGTGACTTCAAAATTATTTACTGCTAATAACCATACACTTTGACTTGACTTGAACAAAAAAGGAGATCTTCGGACAATCTTTAACGAACACTAAAGGCAAATATTAAATCCACAATGACTGTTGAAGTAGGGGTCCAGAAACCTTGTAATGCTACTTTTGTGCCAAGGAAATGCTGGTCTTGAATTAAAGTCAGATTTTGGTTGTCTGCACGGCAATATTAATTGCGCTTCGAATCTTCCACCTGAAAACAGGCCTCTTGACATTGCAATTTTCTTGGCCAACGTTGCCAGACATTACTGTGCAGCTGCCCACACTAGTAGCAGCAGAACGAAAGTAGCCGGAGCCACAGCAGCAACAACGGCCATTGAAGCTTGCCGGAATGGATGGCGTTGGACAACGAGACATTGGCTCACAATGCTGGCGCACAGGCACAGACAGCACTCAGCCACTTCGAGCGTACAGGTTCGTTCTGGAAAGTTACATAGATTTCTTTCCTGCAGCTCAAGAGGCATACACCATTCGGGCATCTATCAACATCACATGCACATACCGGTTGGGACTTTAGCGTCCAATGAAGTGCACTAATCTACATATTTATGTAGAGCATTACCGCCCACTCCAAAGCCACAGTTTGTCAGCAACGAAAAGTGCATAAAGAGTGGCCCACACTGACGCTCAGTTCTGATCTACGTAGCAGCTCATTGACACAATGTCGAGGTAAGATTACATTGTATTGCTAAGTATCACATAAACATTATCCAAGTGCTTCATTGAACGAGTGGCGTGTTACAGTGAACTTCAAGCAGCAACAAAGCAGTAGTAAGTTCTCTGTGATGTTAAAACGTCTTTAAAACAAAGAATACAAAAAAAAGGAAAGGCAGGCTTTCTGCATAAACAAAGGAGTACAAAGAAATGGCAGACCATACCTGGTGAGGCATTTCGATTCTGTACAGTTCCTTTAGGAGGTCCGTCTGAATGAAATGAAATATTAAAAGGCATGAGAACATGATTCGCTAGGCCAAAATGAAGTGCTTCAGCATCACAATTAGTTGCGGTAACCCACACAGCTGGCGACAAAAATTGGCCACGCCAGCCAGCTGCTATTTCCAACAAGCCGAGTTTATTGTCAAACCTTACTATACCAAGTCTCAAGTTTTCTCATTAGTATATAAAGCTTATAATGTAAGTCGTGAATATCCACTCTACGACCGATACTGTACTTTAACCAAAACAACCTTTTTCAACCGCAGCAGTTACACAAAATCTGTGCAGCATGCAGCCTCACATGTGCGAGAATCGAGCATGCGATGCGTGGTGTGCACAACCATGTATATTTCGGAATCTTACAAAAATTTAATGTCGGAAGATCCATGTTGCCAATGAAATTAAAGCGAAGAGGGGGGGGTATCTATAAAAAAAGCACTATGGCAGAAATTCGCCGACTACTTTTCAGACTGCCTCGATTATGCGCATTGCACACAATCTATGTCGAATCACGTCCGAAATTTCATGCCCTGAAAGACACCGACCGTTAGATTTCCCAAACATGCACCAGATTTCATCACAAATTTCTCGAGACACACTCAATGTAATCGCGAACCTCAATTCGAGTGCTACATGTGCCACCCTCGTTATCATCAACGATATGTATCCCTTCTCTTCAAGTGCAGCCACTGCAAAGAATTTCATTGTTTCAGTACCAAACCGCAACTTAGATTGCACGCAACTGTGACCAAATTGCAACCAAGCCTTATTACCTGCCATTCAGCATGTTGTCACGAGAAGTTTGCTCCAGACATGAAGGTCGGGCATAAAAAAAAATTGCACACAAGCACTAAACCAACAACAGTCTGCAAGATATGAAGCTTGTGTTCGCAGCCTGGGAGATAAATGTTCACAAAAGCCCACCAAGCTTCTGTAAGACCGCGCACTGGCAGCAAAGGCAAAAGCTGAAGCAATAAAGCCGTAGAAGTTTTAAATTTACAAATGGGGTAGCAAATGGGATATCAGTAGCAAGCTCGATAACTTCCAACACTTTTCCCGACAGGAAGCTCTGAATGCAGTTGATGAAGATGGGACCACATATGTGACATTGAGCCACGCGCGGCTGGCAAGCGACCGGAGACACACTAGACAATTATAGTTTACTGTTAGCGTGATAGCAGGGTAAAGGAAATGACATAACTGTGCAGCAAACCTTTGTTGCAGACAACCTGTATAGTTTAGCAGGATAGCGTTTATGTGGTTTACATGCCCCAGCTGGGACAGTGGGGCCACCTATTGAAGAGTTGATAAGTTAAGAACAGTGAAAAGAGAAAGAAAACAAGAATGTTTGCCTGTGTCACTGCGCGAAGCATTGTTACAAGTTTATTTAGTAATAAAAAAGGTCAATAAAAATAAACCACGCAGCAAACGTGAAAACATTCATGTTGCCGATTTGTTTACATCGATCTTCTAGTTAGGCCAAGAGACGTTCAAAATGGAAAGCTATCTAACAAATTACGCTAGCTTATTCGTAATACTCAGTCATCGAAGGTAACTGAAGGTCAGCAAAGCCATTTTAAACAGTCGTTTGGCACAAATGAAATGAATCTTTCAAAAACTATGCCAACATCACTTCGAAGCGGACATCCGAAAGCGCTGCCATGTTTACGTACACTACGTACACCCCACTAACACGGTAATGTTAAATCTGAAAACTAGCATGCATACCGTAAGCGGTATGGGTAACGTACGTATCTGTGCATGCGCACTTCAATCCCGCTATCACAGTAAACCAACTTTCCCGCTAAGCCCGGTATACTATATCTGTCTACTAGCACAATGTAGCCACACCAACCCTGGTGCAAAGGTTTATCTGTCGCCTATAGGCAACCACCAGCCCTCCTCTTTTACTCCCCAGGCAATGTGCTGCGCTCTCTTTTTCCTTTTCCTCCCTCTGCCCTTCGTTTGTTCACTACGCATAACCTCCTCCTCCGTAACAACCTCCTCACTCGCTCCCCAGTGGCTCACCCAGCGCACTTGCTTTCAGATATGCACTCGCTACCGTATTCAGCACAAAGATTTTTGAGTAACCGCATTATAACCGGCGTTTCATTTTGGAGGTGGCACAATAAGCAGTATGCGTACACAGGGGGTTCTAGGGTAGGGTAAACGAGAGTCGAAAAAGATTGCAGGGTAACCAGTCCTGCCCTATTAGCGGTTACGTTATTAGCAGTTCGCACAATTTCAGAAATCTTCCCAATGGCCATTGGCCTCATAAATATACAGTTGACTCCTGTTAAAACGAACTAGAAGGAACCACGGACTTCGTCTTATCAGAAGTCCGGCTTACCTGAAGTGCCCCCTTAAAAAGGCATGCTAGCATGCCAAGTTCATCCAATTCATCTAAATGTGTTTCTTGACAACACAGAATGGGGTAGACTTACAATTGGCTAAAAATAACAAGGAAAAGCATTTTTTTTGGCTAAAATTGATAAATAGTACGCCTTTCACAGCCCTACTTTGACAATGCTAAAACAATAAAGAAAGGCAGATATATGCTCTTCAATGTATTGATAACACATTTTAACAATAAACACGTAGCAAAGCCCTACTTTGACAAGCCCTACTATATCAACTTCAAAGAATAAAAAATTATTCTCTCCTGGCAATTAATTTCTTTAGGTGAGCCTGCTTTGCTAGCTCTAATATCACTTTTGTAAGCGTCTTGATCGTGTGCCAACAAAGACAATATACGCTGAGCTGTTTAATAAAGTGTGAGCTTTTCTTCAAGTACAGATATTTTCCTGTTTTCAGCCCATAGTAACTCTTCGTTATCTATGTGCAGTTGAGGATCTCCATTCGCACTACTCACGGTCACAAGCCTCGTGCACACGAAAAAGACTAAACACAGCTGTATGTTGTGTGCAAAATAACCTTCCTTTGTCATGCGCTTTCATGATGAAAATGGTGCTGCACAATTTGCACTTTACTGGGAACAGATACTATGCGCGCAGGCTCTATGCGAAACAATGCGAACTGCCGCCAACATCTACTCTTGTGAGATGGCGATGACAACGCATCTGACTCTTTTACGGGAGTCCTAGTGCTGCAAACATGGCATCGGTTTCGTATGCGATTGTAAAGCACAAACAATTTTTGTTTGACACCCCCTCCCCAACCCCCAGCCATTTTCCCCTTTGTACACAGCAGATAAGATGCCTCACAGGGGCCCTAAGCTTTGATGTTCTGCTGTTCTCCTTTGAGCTCAAGCTGGGAAGCCAAAGAACATGGGGAGATTACAAAAGGATGCAAAGTCTTGGATCCTTCCTCAACTATTGCATCCCAACTTTTTTAGATGCGAAGTATCTCTTCCTAAAGTCTATGTCCCGCGACTTTGGCGTTCGCACTCAGACTACACATGCGCAACTTCTTTCCTCTCCTACGCTTTCGCCTCGCAACGCCGACGCAGGGAGCTTCTGCTAACCTACGCTTTCTCTTCCATCTCTTCTAGGCATTCCTCCCCTCAGTGCTTACACTGCCATTGCGCATGCACATCTCCTGCCTCTCACTCCACTCTTCTACGCTCCCCCCTCTTGCCTTGCAATGCCGACGAAGGCAGTATCTGCTAGCGAGTTTCTTGATTGAAAAAAAAAAAAAAAATGACTGCTTATGCTGCACAACTGTTCACTGGTCACCCTGTATATATAGGCACAGGATCTTGACCTCCAAGGTAGTGCCAGTGGAAGATTTTGCCTGTGCAGTTGTTGAATGATAAAAATCTGCAGCGTGCACATTAACTAAAAGCGGACTGCCGGTCTCTGTGTCCAATCTGAGTCGTCTGTCTTTCACTGCCCATTAGCAGCAATTGGCATGTTCTAGTAAGAAACACCGGTGCATCACTGCATGCTTTGCGCCTCCCCAGGTTTCTCTCCTGTGAAACGACGCGATGAGAGCCAGCATCAACGTCGCGCCGCCAGTGTAAGCGGTACTGCCCACTGCTTCGCATCTACACATGGTTTCTTTCAGCGGGTGATGACATGATTTCTTTGTTGCTTATATATATATATATATATATATATATATATATATATATATATATATTGAGGAAAACCAAGAACAGTACATACAGTATAACTACAGAAGGCTAAAAAAGATTGATATTGATTGATTGATTGATATGTGGGATTTAACGTCCCAAAACCACCATATGATTATGAGAGACGCCGTAGTGGAGGGCTCCCAAATATTCGACCACCGGGGTTCTTTAAGGTGCACCCAAATCTGAGCACATGGGCCTACAACATTTCCGCCTCCATCAGAAATGCAGCCGCCGCAGCCGGGATTCAATCCCGCGACCTTAGGGTCAGCAGCAGAGTACCTTAGCTACTAGACTACCGCGACAAAGCCAGCTAAAAAAAAAGAGAGTTCAATGCCATGTAGAGGTGACCTATTGGAATGAGAATTCAGCAAGGTCAAAATAACTGATTGGCGACAAGGACAACCTCCTCCAGTAGACTATTCAAATCGTGGCATGTCCTTGGGAAAAACGAATGCCTATACAGACGAACCCCGCTACAACGAAACTGACGAGGGGCAGAAAAAATTTCGTTGAAGCGAAAACTTCGTTGTAGTGAAATCAAATAAATATACCTGATCTGAGGTAGCAAATCGTAGGAACATTTATTCTCAAAATTCAAAAAGTGTCTGCTGCTTCTTATTCTTTCCTAGCAGTGTCACGACGCAATGCTCACCCATGCATAGCGAGGCCATGGTAAAAAGCCCATTGAAACAACGCCTAAAACTGCTTTCGTGAACAAACCAAACAGTTGCATTAACACGTTAATACCAGCAGCTGTCTGTCGTCAGAGTGTATCTGACAACGCCGAGATGGAGGCAGGGTATCATGAAGGAGTGTATCTGACAACGCCGAGATGGAGGCAGGGTATCATGAAGGGGTGACTTTTGCCTTAGTCTTATCATCCATCAC